AAATTTGTAGAAGACAGCTAATCTCTTGTGTTATCATTGCTAACAGTTCTTGCGGAGAACCACTACATTTTGTGAACACCGTCGTCACTTGTGTTGTGAAGTCTGCAGTGGACACGCACCTGGCCGCGCCTGGCCAAGGAGTACAACATAGTTTCTCCATCCTCCAGGATGGAACAGGTTCTAATTATACAAACTGAAGAAAAAATGCCCGTTGTTTGCACGAGATTCAAGCCCTTGATTCGATCTATGGACCATGCGTCTGAAAAGTGACTTCGCATACCACCACCTCAAATCAACCCATCATTAGGAAAGTAATCCTTCCAGCGTTCACTGGCGTTCTGGCTTTTTATTAGGCCAGAACTAGTGACTGCCTGCATTTATCCTTTTAGGGAATTATATCTGGGAGTGGTCAAAGTCAACAGGCTGGGAATGGGGTCGTATTCGCGGAAATTAATGGGATCATGATTGCGGAAGAGGGATATTTGTCGGGCTTGTAACGATTTTGGAGAAAACTCTAGAGAAGTGCATAAAAAGGAGAAGATCAGAACACTCAGCTATCCTTAGCTACATTTCCCTTCGTGTTCGACGAACATTTCGGAGGGTAAGTAGACGGGATTGAGCTGTGTCAACTGGCCTCAGAATTGAATACCACTTAGACAGCCATGGTGATGGTATGGGAGAGGGGGATCGTACTGGGGACTTCTAGGGCTGACCATGGTGAAGGGACGCCAAGGAGGGGGGGGGTCATCAACGTGCTGAAATTGGAACGGCGGACGGTCAATCCGACGGCAAGCCATACTGGGGGGGGGGGGGGAATGATATCGGACGCTTTAAAAGCTGGCTGGAATCGATTATGCTCAATAGACTGTGCTCCAAGAGTCACCTACAATCATCATTTTTTTGTAGATGATGAAACTTCAGATGTGATAGTGACGAGTTCTCTCAATGGGTTGTGCGACTTTATTCTGTTATTTTTACCGTAACATTCAGCCATGATAACACCATTTACTAGTAATAATGCAGAGATGAAGTTTTTCTGGGAGTGGCAATGACGCTGCTTCTCGCATGACCTGGGGATCGAGGCAGGCATTTCCTAGGTTTATCAAGATTCCGTCGCGGGAGCAATCAACTACCGAGTTAGACCAGGTGGAGAAAATGTGATCTGTACAGTGGCAAACACAATTCACTCCATGATTCACACAAGCGAAATCCATCACAATTTTTCAAAGAAGCCAAAATCGTGGCGTATCCCGAGTGGTGGTTCCGCAGCAAGTATCCTTCTTGAGGGGGTTAGTCCGAACGTCAGGCCCAGGTCACTACGCTCCGAAGTAACCTCGTCGAAATGCCTTCGTTAAGCTGGGCGAGCGCTAGCAGGTGACACGCCACTAAATGCAAGCGGGAAGGGAAGGGCTTCTTTGTGGCTCACCGTGTCCCTTCATCGAATCTACTGCGAGTACCCCATTCACGCTCCGAATACTACCTCTGCCTTGAAGGGCGCCAGAAAGTGAAGAAAATACCCAATCGATCATATGTACCAATGCCACGAGAATTTTCGACTTAATTGAAATGACAGAATGGATAATAATGAGGACATCAATCATTTGTCGACACAACTCACCTGAAAACGTTGGAGTATTTGTTTGAAATCGTTCGCTCGAACTGTGGGCACTGGTGATGATCGTGCAGTACTTCGTGTTGACTCCTCAGGGCTTGGAACACTGAAAAATGCCGAATTGATGAAAATTGTAAAGGCCACAGCCACGCAGCCATATAAACCTAGGACTGTGCGAACTTTTGGGACTTTTCCGGTCAAACTTTTTCACGACACAACGCTAATGTCAAAGTAGACTGGGTTACCCTGAATGGGACGTAGAACATGTGGAATCCATGACATACGGTCCATTTCGACGAGTTGGCGGGGGCGGTCCCACGGACTCTCTAGCGCTGCGGCCGCAACTGCGCTGCATTGGAGCGGAAATCAAAGCAAGAGTCCAGACAGCAGAGGCCGCCGTGGGGCTAAACCTCCATCACAGAGAAGAGAAGGCAGAGAAGTGGAAGTAGTGTGTATGCGCGAGAGTGCAGACAACAAGACGCCATGCTCTGCCACTCGTGTCCATCACTAACAATTGCCGTGAAACGGTAACGTTCCAATAAGATCCGTGGGACCGCCCCCTCAACCCGTCGGATATGGACTGTAACCAAAGGTTCCAATCAGATCGGATGTTCGAGTTCATTTATTTAGTTTATCAAATTGCTAGTATTTATAGAATACTTAA